TGTTTGTCTGTATGCCCAGGGCTTGTAGACATCGGAGCAACGTTGCTGTGTCCAGAAACCTTAACTGCTGATGAGATGGTGGAACTGGAAACTCAAGCTGTCCTCAGCAACCTGCAACAGAAGTACCTGACTCCAATTTCAAACCCCAGGTGGTTACTGGAGCCCATCCCTAGGAAAGGGGGGAAGGATGTGTTCCAGGTAGACATCCCAGACCACCTGATCCCTTTGGGGATGGAGGCTTGACCACCATGGAGTCTGGACTGTTATCGTGCTGAGAAAGCAACAAATGATGTGGCCATCAGACTACCCTAGCTGTGCAGACCTCTACCATATGAGGGTAACACTGAGCTGCCACCTCCCTGCAGAGCACCGCCCACTATGTGCTGCTCCCAGACCCAGATATGTGTGTGCTCATGCAGGGGATGGCAGTCAGGACTTCCCTCCTGCTGTGCCCCTTTGTCTTCACTGGCAGGCAAATACCTTGGCCTGTAAGAAAAGGGAAAACTGCCAGGAAATGAGTTTCTGTTGAGGTTTACTTTGGTCCTGTCATGTCTGCATTATACAAATAAATGTGTTGATGATCAGTGTTTAGTGTCATGGTTCCTTCGTGGTCTCTCCCCTTCTTTATTCCAGTCAAAACCCCTGCAGTGTATGAACGGAATGCGGGGGACCTTGTGGCAAGTCTAGCACCAAAACTGATTGTTGCCAGACAGTGAATTGTCGCTAATGGCCTGGCAGATCTGGGAAGAACAGTAAATCCCATGAAGGAAGAAAACAATGTCCTGTTCTTCCACAGTGCCCTTGCTGTGTGGAAAGGGTACCTCAGGCAAGGAAAAGTTGAGTGTCCAAATGCTATTTGTATCTCAAGTATCCTAAGTATTGCTCTGATGGCATGAGGTGGTTTGTAGGGTTCCCTAGTGCTGATTGTTTTATAGCAACTGTTGTCAGTGTGAGTACAGTTTCTAGTGGCTGTCTTCCTTATGCACCAGACTGAATCCCACCCCCAGCATGGTGACAAGAATGGGCTAGGGTGTAGTAGTGGGTAGAGTTCCAGATGTGTGCCCGCATGGAGGCTCTCCTCTCCTGACTGCATGGACTGGGATGGGGACCCAGGAGGAGGGGCTCTCCTGGTGGAAGATACCTGAGGAGAGGGAGGTGAAACC